TGGCCACCCGCTGCCTGTGGCCTGCTGTGGAGTAGGTTCTGCTACTTTCCTCCACTCCTTGTATGGATGTGGTCCAGACACTGGGCCTGTGAGGCATCCCTGCTTCACCCTCTTGAGCTGCCATGTCATTTGCTGAACTTCCAGTGGTGACATACCCTAGAACTTCAGAGCTGGAAAAAAGACAGAACTCTGCCATCCAAGCCAGTGTAGTCTCCCATTTCACAGACAGGAAATCCAAGGCTCAGAGACTGGAAGTCACTGCACTCCAGGCTCTGACCTCCAGCTTTCCCTGGACCACCACAGCCCCTCCCACCTGGGGCGACCTAGTGAGAACCACACAGAAGCTTGAGGCAATTATCCAGATGGTTCCAGCCAAAGGATCTAGAAAATTCTGGCTAAGAAACACAAGTTCCTTGACCATCTGCCGAACTGAAGCAAAAGCCTTTTTCACCCTCATTTTAACTGCGATTCCATAGGCAACAGCTTCACTTTCTCCCCCAGAGCTGAGCTCCTTTGAACAAACTTGTGTGTGTGTGTGGTGGGGGGGTGGTGCTGAGAACGGGGCTCTGAGCTCTGCCAGCTCACAGATTGCAGCTACCAGGACATTTTCACACTTCTTAATGCCAAAAGCTGCCATGGAAGCCGATCTGCTCCCAAAGCGGGCTTTCAAAGAGTGGCGGGAGGCTCTGGCTGATCCTAAAATCTGTGCACTCAGGCTGATCTTAGACACAGGGGGTGGAAGTTGGTATCAGTGAAAGGACACTGGGGCCCAGGCAGTTGGCAGAGAGTGGCCATGAGTGGGAGGCCGCGGGTGACCGCCTTGACCACTGAGTAAGCACCTGACTGTTCTAGGTCTCCCTTTCCATATGATGGGGTTAACAGCCTCTTTCCCAGAGTTGTGAGGATTTGGGGAGCTGGTACAGGCGGGTCAAGTGTTTACCCCCAAGCCAGTCAGACAGCCAGCAATTAACAGCAAGAGCTGCTGCTCCTGGTGGTGGTGCTATCATCACTGGCTTGGGATCAGCTGGCTCACCCGGGCAGCAGGAGGTCTGCATTTGGGGGGGGGGAGGGGAAAGAAAATTCTATCTGGGTGACACGAACCTGTGGGTGGGTGGCCCCTCCGTCTCAAGCCGGTAACCATGCTGACAGTGTGAACGCCATCTCTCCAGAACAATACCAGGGCTTCTTTGTAACACGTCCCTTGGCACCCAGACTTCGCAGGGAGCTCAGAGTGTCCCAGGACACCCAAGGAAAAAAGCAGGACGTGCCTTTTCTGGGTCACCTATTCACGGGGCTCTGGCAGAGGGCTCTGGCAATGCTTTGGAAATCCAGTCCTGCGTGAGAAGCAGTCATTACCACTGGCTCAGGGTGGGGTGCAGCAAGGAAATTTCTACAGTTGTGATGGCTGGTGCAGGCAGGGTGTGAATGTGCTCTTGCCGAACCCCAACCCTAAGAAACAGGATGGTCAGTCCCATTTAAAAGGGGTTTCCTGGGGGTGGGGTGCGATGAATTGGGCGATGGGGACTGACATGTATACACTGATGTGTATAAAATTGATGACTAATAAGAATGTGCTAAGGACTTCCCTGATGGCACAGTGGTTAAGAATCCACCTGCCAATGCAGGGGACACGGGTTCGAGACCTGGTCAGGGAAGATCCCACATGCTGCGGAGCAACTAGGCCTGTGCGCCACAACTACTGAGCCCGCGTGCCTAGAGCCTCTGCTCCACAACAAGAGAAGCCACCACAATGAGCAGCCTGCGCACCACAAAAAAGACCCAACACAGCCAAAAATAAATAAATAAATAAAATTAAAAAAAAAAAAGAAGAACCTGCTGTATAAAAAAATAAATTAAATTCAAAAATAAAAGGGGCTTCCCCAAGGGTACTCAGCTGGTAACCGGCAGAGCAGGATTTAGACCTGAGTTCAGATCCTCTTCCCCATCACATCACACACATGTCCTTGGATAGCTGGGGGGAGAGTGTTGCTCTGTTCCCTGAGTGAGACCCTGCCAGGTAAAGATGCAGCGGACTTGGCCCCTGCTCTGGGTACCTGCTCGGAGCTCTGGGGGCCACACAGTGTGTCTGACCTTGATCATCAGCCCCCTTGCCTTGGTTCAGAGGCCCTCTTGGAAATTGTTCAAAAGCTACATTGCTTGATAGGACTTAGACCCCTGGGAGTAGGTGACCTATCCAAGGTGGTCATCCTGGCTTTATTTACAAGACTTTGGGGAGTGGGCAGCTCTCTCCCAAGGGTGAAGGAGATGGATGCTGATAAGTGTATAAGCTACAAGAGGGAGGCTTGTGTGTGCTTTTTACAATCTGAATGATCCCCAAAGGGGAGTCACACCTTGACCCCTTGTCAGCTCACACCTCACGACATCGTGGGGCCATCAGGCCTAGGAGTCTGACAGAACTGAGCTTGAATCCTGGCTCTGCTGATTACCAGCTGTGTGATTTTACTCAAGACATGGAACATCTTCAAGCCAGTTTCCTCATCTGTAAGATGGGAATGGAAATCCTACCTACCTTACAGGGGTATCTTGAGGGAAAAAATATGCCCATCTCTGCAAAGCACCTGGCCCAGTGCTGGCAACGTGGTAGATGTCCCCTTCCGTTCAAGAGTGGGCGTGGATAAGGTCGCTCAGGATAAGGCAGAGGGCCTGGGCAGAGCTCTGAGGAACCCCCGAATTTCCGGGTAGGCTGAGAAGACAAGCTCACACAGGAGACAGAAGAGGAGTGGCTGGAGCAGCAGAGGGGAGCCAGGAGAGTGCAAGGCCATGAAAGCTAAGAGGAGAGCCTGTCAAGGAGGGGCGAGCAGTTGTGCCAAGTGCAGCCAAGAGGGCCAGGAAAGAGAGGACTGTGCAGCGACCTTGGATTGGTGGCCATAGCAAGGGCCATCTAGATGGAGGAGTGGGGGTAGAGCCAGAGCACAGGGGGGGGGGGGGGGGGGGGGGGGGGGGTGGTGAGGAGGTGGAGACAGTGAAGTTTGGTGAGAAAGAAAGCAAAGCTTTATGGGCGAACCAAAGTTGTCCCCCATTTGACATTTATGAATGTCAAAATCAGTTATTTAGAATGCTCCAGTCCATCTGATTTTTACTGTTTTGAAATCAATCTCAGTCCAACATGATAAGAAGTTAGAAGGGCTCTAACCCCTCTAAGGGCTGGAAGGAACTGTGGAGGTCCCCCCAGTGCTGGCCCTCCTCCACCTCTCACAGGAATCTGTCCTCATCAGGCCCACGGTGGATGATAAGTTATTATCTACCACACTCTTTAACGATATTCACCAGGGGAAAGATCAGCCTGGTTTGTTAACCTCGATTCCATTTGTAGTTAGCAAAGGCGAATCCTCAAAGCATGGAGAAGCCTGGGGTGGGGGTTTCCTCCCAAACGCTGTGTCATGGGTACTGAGGTCCTCACTGTAGCATCACAGCAGGTAGAAGGCAGCCCAGGAAGCAGGAGACCTAGTATGAAGGTCCCAGCTCTGCTGGCTGTGCAAACTGGGGTCAGCCTCTCCTCCCCCTGATACCTCACTCTCCCCTTATGTAGGATAAGGGGTTGGACCGTGGTGAGTCTAAGGGTCCTGCCAGCTCTGACATTCCAGGCTTTCTCCTATTCTACAGTGATTTAAACAGTCCTTCAAGTCCAGTGCTCCAGACGGTGAAACTGAGGTCCAGAAAAGGCCCATTCTCCAGTCCCTCCCTCTCCCTTCTAATGCATCTAACTCTGTGGAGCAAGATTCTGGGCCTGAAATATGGCTTCCATGCCTCTGGTGGCTCCTGATTACTTAAGGATAAAGCCTTAAATCTTCAGCCTGGCACTGAAAACATTCCATGATCTTGTTCTATCCCACCTCATGTCCCACTGCCAGGCCTCTCTCCTCCCCATTTTGTTTCTATCCTCACTACCAAGCCCTCACCCTTGCTGGACCCCCCTCCCTAATACCTTTTCGCTGACTCTCACCTCCTTCAAGGTCCAGCTTACCTGCTCTTCGGTTTTTAGACCTCCACTTCTCAGAGGCAGGGGCTGTATCTTAGTTATTCTGTGGCTACTCCTTCCCCTAGTGCTGAGCATGCAGTAGGTGCTCAATAAAATGCTCAGAGACCATAAGGCCCCTTCACCTGCACTCTCCTTGGCATGTTGTACTAAGTCTGGCCATGCTTTAGTGATTGGGATTTTCCTCCCTTGTCCGGGACCCAGACCAGCGCCTGGCACCAGGGGTCCTCAGCATGGAACGCCAGGACTGGGCTCAGTGACCAGCTGGTCCACTCTCCTCTTTGCCACAGGAGGAACCTGCCACCACTTACAGGCTGTGTAACGTTGAGCAAGTCACTAGTCTGGTTTTGACAGACGGGGAGGCCAGCAGGGCCCACCAGGGGTGGAGGGCTGTGAGCATTATATAGGATCATACCTGGAAAGGCCTAGCACCGGCCCATCTCCTAGCAAGTGTGTGGTGACTCTTAGCCGTCCCAGCGGGGCCACTCAGTCTCTCCTCCCGTGGAGGGCACAGTCTGCACAAGGCCACTTCCCAGGAAGGGGACGCAGTGAGTGAAAGTACCTGGGGCTGCCCCCAAAGGCCGGACCTGATCCTGCCCGGCCAGTGTTGACCGAAGCTCAGGGTGTGGCCCCTAGAAACCCATCGGCCAGGCTGGGCGGGGGCGGGTCCGGGGCACGTCCGTCCCTCCAGCACGCGGCCTCCTGGCTTCCCCAAGCACTAGGTTTATTTGCTTTGGGGGCCCTTCTCAAGCCAGACCTCTAACCTGGACTCAGAGACGCCTTTCCGGGTGGGGTCGTGACAGTGCGCAGACTGCACGGCTGCCATCACCGAGGCCCCCACCCCCACCCCCGCTCCGCCGTCCCAACCCCAGCCCTGCCCTCTCCCACCTCCACCTCTGCGGCGGTAAAATGCAGCACTCGCTAGGCGCCTGCGCGGCTCTGGGGCGGGGCGGTGGCCTCAGCTATTTATAGAAGGTGACGTCACCTTGAAATAGACCGTTAGGGCTGGCCCGCCCTTCCCCCCCCCCACTCGCGCAGCACCGCGCCGCCCGGCCCGGCCGCTCCCACTGCGCAGGCGTCCTCTCGTCCTCCCATCCCCCCGCGCGGCCGCCTGTCCTCCCTAGGCGGCGTCCGCGGCGCGAGCCACAGCGCGCGGGGCGAGCCAGCGAGAGGGCGAGCGGCGCTACCTGCTGCCTGCAGCCTGGGCCGGCCGGCGAGCCAGTGCGCGTGCGCGGCGGCGGCCTCCCCTGCGACCGGAGAAGACGAGCGGGCGAGCTAGCGGAGCGGGGCGCGAGGCGAGGCAGGGCTCAGCGACATGGGGGACCGCGAGCAGCTCCTTCAGCGGGCGCGGCTGGCCGAGCAGGCGGAGCGCTACGACGACATGGCCTCCGCCATGAAGGCGGTGAGCGCGCCGGGAGCCCGGGCGGCCGGCCGGGGGCCCGGCGCAGGGGAGGGGTGGGCAGCCGGGCGGCGGCCCCCTCTGGGCCAGGGGCAACCCCGCCGCCCCACTGGGCGCGGCCGCCCGCTCTCAGCCTGCTTTTCCCGCGCCCGCCGCGCGCCCCGCCATTTCCTGCGGCCGGGCCTGGGGGGTGTCCAGGGAGGGGGCGCGGCGGGGACCCCGGGGGTGGGCGGGGGTCGCGGCATCCCAGCTCGGAGCCGCGGGTGGGGGAGGGTGCTCGAGGGAGGGTGAGGGAGCCGCATTTCTCCTCCTGGACCGTTCTGCCAGGCTGGGTCACCCCTTCTCGCCTTCCTCCACACACCCCAACTTGTAATAAAGAATCACCTAGTGAGTGGCGCCCTGTCTCTCCTGGTTTCCTCTGCCACGACCTGAACTCGGTGTAATGTCGATCCGCTTTTGCTCTGATCGCCGGCATCGTTCTGGTTCCATTCTCCCGCGCCCGGGGTCCGCTTTGTGTGCGGAGACCCCCCATCCTGAAGTCCGACGAGGACGCGGGCGGGAGCGCGGCGGGCCTGGGGCCCCCTCCCAGGTTGGATGTTGCGCCCATCTGCCCGGAGACTAAAACGGGTCCTGACGCCTGGGGGAGGCGAGCCCTTGTGCCTTTGCCTTCCCGAGACCCCTGGAGACTCGTCTGCAGCTCCATTTCCGGGGAAGGAGTCGCGGCCGGCCACACCCTGGCCAATGCGGTGGATTAGATACCACCTGCGTGTCTGAGACCTAGAGTTCCGGTGACCCTCCCACTGTCCCTGTCTCCTCACAGTAGTTCACGTTTTCTTTTAATAAACATTACTTATCTCTGCGTCAAGGTCACAGAGGGGTAGAGCCACAGCTGCGGCCGCCAACGTGCCATGTTCACCCAGTGCACAACCTCCTGAGACGTGGGAGGATCCGCCGGGGCCCCACCCTAGACCTACAGACTCAGAAACTCGCAGGGGTGGGACTCATATCTGCACTTGAACCAGCCCTCATGGCAAGTGCTATTGGGTTTAAGTTCAAGAATTACTGCCCTGGGTTATATAGCTCATTTGCCCTTCTTAGGGCCTTGGGAGGGGATTTCCTAAAGAAAAAACTACAAATATCGAGGCTCTGTAAAATTTCAGAGTCATGTGAAAAATTCCTTTTAAAGCTTTTGATATTAATATATGAAACATGTTGTTGAGGTCCGTGTTTAGGATTATCCAGGTAAGAAGTGTTATCTTTTCCATGTCGTTCACGTCACACGTTGAACCAGGTGTTTGGAAACCACCACCACCCATTTGTTGATTCATTGGTGATGCGGAGTTGATCATGGTGTTGTGGGCCAGGTAGGAGCTTTTCATCCAGACCAGGGACGATTTAGGTTTGGGACCTGAAGTCTGTGTAATTCTGGGGGTCTTATAAGAAAAAAAAAGTAGGGTATATGAGTTTAGCAAATTCCACAGAAACAGGACTGACTGAGTGCATTTCCTTGGAAGGGGTCCTGAGCTTAATCTTCTTTGGGATAAAGCCACTTCTGTCCACACAGCAAGCGACACTTAAGTGCGCCTCTTCTCCCCAGTCACCGAGTGGAACTGGGATTGTGCGGTTGAGGCCGCTTTCTGGACATTTTAGCGAGGCCCTCGCCTATCCTGCAAGTGGCACTTTGAAGGCCGCAGTTTTAGGAGCCTTTTGGGGAATAAAGAAGGGATGGGTCTGGAAGCAAAGTGAATTGAGGCTAAGGGAAAATGACTAGAATGTAGTTCTGGAGCTATAGGAAACCCGAGGCAACTTGCAATTGGAAGTAAGGAAAGAATACAGAGATGTAACCGAATGGAATACAGTTTGTGGAGAGAAAATAATTGGTTTTCTGGTCTTCGAAAGCAGGCTTGAAAGATGCTTTCCTGCAGCTACCTACTTGTGTACACAGATTTTCTCTGAGACATTAAGGTAGGATTTTGCAAACTAATGGACCCTTTCATGTATTGGGAATATGTAATATCTGTATCTGAGATGATTGATGGGTTGGATAGGCCATTGAAAATTCAGTGCATACTCTAATTATGTCATTTCAGAATTGTGATAAACATTCCCTCAAGGTAACTCCTATTAAAAAATAAGAACTTTTTTGGTCAGTATGCCTGTTTCCTCTATTAAATAATTTTTTTTTGGTCATCTAAATTAATGGAATATATTAATTGGAAAGGACTTGGCAAGGGTCAGTGGAAAACTGTTTCTCATGTTTTACCTGTTAAGTTGATATTTGTATGTTAAATTCTTAATTTTATTGAGAAGACTCAGTCCCTATTTCATTAATATCATAGACCTAAAATATAGCTTTTGGAAAGAGTTGGAATTCTGATAACCCTCTGGGCTTGTGTGGGTTTTCTTCAGGGCAGGTAAGTAGGCTTCTCTACCGCACCTGAGTGAGGGGGTGTTCTGATGCCACCACTCTGTGACCTTGAAGCTCACATCTCTTGTCTTCTGGTCCTCTAAAGTGTGTAAGTTGTAATGTTCGTGTTACTATCAAGTGGGCTTTCAGCTTTCATTCTTCTAACTTGTTTTCTGTTTCCTTTATAATTTAAATGGTAGCTAATAATATTGCCTGCCTGTAATGATTGATGTTCCGTATGCTACCAGCGTCACCTGGAGGATGCTGTCAGTAAGGCTTTAAGAAATCACGCATGTTGGAAACAAAGGTATTGGCTCACATCAGTTGAGAACTGCAGTTCCCTGCCTTTCGTCCTAATTTGAAGAGGCAAGAAATGTTTTTGAAGTGAAGTAAAGACGTTTCTTCCAGCTCTCCCCCATCTCGTACCTTGTCCCTTAACTAGAAAGAAACACTGTGAAAGATTCTCGAACCCAAGTCCTTTCTAGACCAGGCTTGGAATGCCCTTATACAATTCATAACCTCTATAAAATGAGTACAGTACCATCTTATGAGAACTACGAGATAAACCCATAAAGTGGCATAAAAATACTTGTGCATAATACTAAGTGATTCTAAGGAAAGAGAGTAACTAACCAGATAGATTTCTAGTGAATATTCATGGACAGACATAATTCAGTCATGTCACTTATTGCCCTTGGTCATCTTTTATATTAAAACATAGGGGCAATCATGAAGTTTTAAAATGTCAAAATTGTTTGGGATGGCATGGTGTGTTTTAACATTGATTACAAAGTTGACAAAGGACGGGGAGAAATATGTCTGAAGGACTTGAAGAATATCTGTAGCAATCTTAAGTGCAGGCAACAAAGCTGCAGCTTAAGGAAATGGGTCGGAGGGGAAGAGGTCCAACCAGTGGCCAGAGGCTGTTATTCCAACAGCTGTGAGATCCTGGGAAGTGGGGAAGTGAGCAGGTGGTATGTAAAAGGAGAGCACAGCTGAGTGGCCCAGGGTGAGACCTAACCCGTGTTGCAGTTATTGAAACTAGGGATGATTTTGAGGTGTACCAGAATTGTGGTTAGTGTGACATCTTAAAGCCACATTGGTAGGACCGTTTGAAATCTATGTAAAATAGCAAGTCGTGTTTCCCATGTAAGTATCGCTTTGTCACGTATTGACTGAGGAAGGAAGAAGTCTCTGCATTATTCTTGCAATATCCTCAGTTAAAAGACACTTCAGTTGGTGAACAGTTCACATAGCTTTGCTGCACTGACGTGGGAGTTGTCCCCATCTGGATTTGGGGTTGCTGCATTATCCCCGGAAGAGCTCCCACAGTCAAGGACCTCACTACTCCCTTAAGGAAACCAAAAATGTATTTTCTCATCATTGTCTGGAATTTAATATTAGTGGTAGACTGCAGTGTCACACTTTTCCAGAAAAACGGTTTGGGAGGGGATACCCCAGATGTGTTTTCCATGTTACAATTCATCAAGTTTATGAAATTTATCGTTTTACCTATTAGGCAGTTAGTAAATGGTAGCTTTTATTCCATGTGTACATTTTCATTTAATCTTGCGAACAACTCTGGATGGATCCTGTTATTAACTCCATTTTACAAATGAGATTTGAAGAGATTAATTTTCTCAAGGTTGAGTTGTAAAGGGAAGATTTGAACTCTCAAATTTAGAGCTATCACTTTAACCACTGTGACAATGCCCCATGAGGCTAAGGAATCATTTCTTTCTAGTGTACTTTCTGGTCTATTAGCCATTGTCATCATTGGTGACTAAGTTCCAAGCCATTAACATAAGTGGGCTTACTGAACAAATAATTCCCTCTATTAGATGTAAGTCATTTTTGCCAAGTTTGATTAAAAACAGAATCTACCACTTACGGTTCTTAGCTGCAGCAGGGGAGCATGAAAGGCAGACTCATCTGGATTGTGCTGTTCTCTTGAAGACCAGTTTTTTTGCTTAAGAAGCAAAGTATTAATTGAATTTGAGTTCTTGCTATGAATTGAGAAGTGCAAGACTATGTTACATTATAGTTGTGGTGTTTTAGGAAATTGTTTTTCCATATTGCTTTTAGTATATTTTGTAAGCCTAGAGGCCCCCAAATTCCAGTGTCTAGGTTGTTGGTGAGATGCTCCCAGGTGTCCAGGTTGAGGCTGCCCCTCCCACTCCTCGCCGCAGTGGCATCCCCTCCTTGGTGGTGGGTGTTGGCACTTCCCTGTGATGGGAACTGGCACAGCTTCTGAAGCCTTCGGTCCTGGTGCCTCAGGGGCAGTAGGGTAGAGTGACGCTGTTCAGATGGGGTTATATATAATGCCTGCCAAGACCTGTGAAAATGTTTACTTATGTTCAGAGCAAGACAAAGGTGGTCTCTTAACGATACAAAGCGAGCTATTTTGACTAATGTTAAGCTTAGAGTGAATATTCATAACCTGAACTCACCTGCTCTGAGCTTGAAGCTGGCCCCTCTCCCAGCCTTGCAGAACTGCAGTCTCGCCCTGGTTTAGACAGAGGGCAGTCTTTCCAGGCTTGGGCAAGTGGTGACCAATGGCAGGTGCTTTGCCAGCTGGGGTACAGGCAGAATCCTCACTTTCGGGGCATTAACTTGGGGAACAGTCAGCCAAAAAAGCTTTCATCCCTCAAGCTCACTTTTCTTTTTTTTTTTTTTTAATATATACAGGGTTCTGCCAAAGAAGCTTAAAGATTTTATGATGTGGTTATGTTTACATAATTATTCATGAGGATTGTTTTTTTCTGTTATAAGCTCTTATATCAAAAGCAAGCTTGCTGGTAGCATGTGGGTGTGGGTAGCTATAAAGTTCGGGGTGGTGGCTGTGCTGTGTGTGTGTAGCTGTGAAGGATGAGAGCGCTGTTCAGGAGGAGTCGCATCAACCCCAACTTGAGCAGTGTGGCTTGGCAGCTCAGGGGTGATGTTTTTTTGTTTGCTCAGTGTTCCTTCTGAGGTTGGATGTTTCCCAGATTGAGAACTTTAAATTTTCCCAAATAGTCCGTGGGCTGTTTTTGGCAGTGGGTCTATTTTTACTCACAAACACATAGTTTATTGCCTTGTGAGTTAGTGGGAGGAGGCCCTTAGGGATTTTTGAGTAAGCCAGTGGTGTCATAGGAAGATAAATGAATTCGTAGTCGACCAGGTTGTTCGTGACTTTCAGAAATGCTGTGTAGTCCAGAGCAGAGAAAATGGGTGAAAGGAGTTGGTGCAGCCAAAGGCTGCGTGGTGAGGATGTACATGAGCAGAATGGCTGGCAGGGAGTCCAGTCCTCAAAGGAGATGAGAGGAGAGCCTTCCTGAATGGGAAGGGTCCATCAATTTAAGGTTTTCAGGAAGCCTGTAAGTAGGATTACCTGGGGTGGGGAGGTGGACAGGAGAACAAGACAGCAGAGTGGCTGCAAGCAGAGGTGGTGGAACCCCTTGCAGCTGATATAGCCACGTGAAGATATATGATGTCTGGGGTGGCCGCACTGGGCGCACCTGGTGTGCGACGGAAACGAGAGTGTTGAAACTGGAGTTGGAGTAGAAAGAAGGTTGAGAACCTTTGTCTGGGTCTCTTCTATCTCGAGAAATCCGTGTTTAGTCTTTGTTCCTTATTAGAAACCATTTGGAAACTTGTGATTGTTGAGATGCAGTAAATCATCTCCGTAGACTCCGCAGATGGCCATCCCGCTGGTTTAGTCTTAGGGTGGTTGGGACCCGTTCCTGCTTTCCTTTCCCTACACCGTTTGCTTCCCAGTGTCTGCGCCTCTTAGTGGGTGACGAGACTTCTCTTGAAGTCTCCTGGCTCCCGTATTTTGGAATTTGAAGTGTTGGGAACTCGTGCTAACTAACATTAGCGAAGGTTATTTGCAGTAAGTATCACCAGCCAAGACTGGCTGTAAATCTTGTTTTAATAGACCATCTGATTTTACTTCAGTCCGTAATTTTCCAATCTGGGGAAAACTCCCAATTTTCTTTAGTTATCCGATCAAGTAATAAAACTGTCTTCCTCCCATAAGTTTCCTTTTGTTAACCGAGCTGTAATCCAGGAGTATTAAAACACACTATATTTAAACGTATCCAGTTATTTCCTAGTTAGGCCCTGGCTGGGGTTCTGAGAACAATGCTTGTGTAGCCGTTAGTCACACTCAGCTGATGCCGATAGTGATTCATTCAGACTGGCAGGCCACCAGGTGATCGTTACATAAACACTGACACTCCTAGTCAATGATTTTTCTTGTGAAGGTGTCATAAATACTGTCCAGTAGCCTTTTTTGGCATTTTATTCCTGATGGAGCAGGGATCCTCGGATTCCTGGAACCTACAGATACACCCACATTTATGTTGATATTCAATAGTATTGACCTCAGGCCTTACCACACCTGTTATAGTTGCTCAGGAAAAATGGAATCCTAGGATTTCAGAGCTGAAGAAGTCCTTGGAGACTGTTTGGGCTAGTCCCCCTTATTTGACTTTTGATGCCCAGAAAAGCTGTGTTCTGTTGAATGTCACACAGCTAGCTCAGGCTAAACTGTAGATGTCTTAAGATTTTTTGTTTTTTTTGCGGTATGCGGGCCTCTCACTGTTGTGGCTTCTCCCGTTGCGGAGCACAGGCTGTGGATGCGCAGGCTCAGCGGCCATGGCTCACGGGCCCAGCCGCTCCGCGGCATGTGGGATCTTCCCGGACCGGGGCACGAACCCGTGTCCCCTGCATCGGCAGGTGAACTCTCAACCACTGCGCCACCAGGGAAGCCCTTAAGATTTTTTTTGAGTAATGATACCACCCCTTGTGCGAACACTGTGTGATATATAAATATTTCAGATATGCACTCAATTTTAATGATGTGCTCTGGGGACATACTATGAGGTGTCTTTGCAGTAGTCCAACAAAAGCAGCTTTACTGGTCGCAGGATGAAGTATATAGTGGCTCCTTATGGATGTCATTTGCATTTTAACATCAAGTGGCCTTAGTTGGATTTACTTATTGGAAGATCTGAGGAGCTTTTCAAATTCTTTTCTTGCCTCATGTTTTGTTTTACTGAATATTGGCCTAGAAAAGTGTCATGCTAAAGGATTCAAGCATTCTGAGATTTGTCTTAGTATTTGAGATGGAATTTTGATTTATAAGGGTTGCTTCCTTAAAAGGCCAAATTATCAGAAAAATATCTACAATGTCTCTTTATACTTTTAGTAAGCAAGTGTGTTTAAAGGCACTCCCTGAAGGAGAAAACTAGTGGGGTTACAGGTCTTGAGGGGAGCATGGATTGTGGATTAGTAGAGAGGAGGGGATTGCCCCAGACCAGCGTGGAGACCATTCCTGTCTTTGTGGGGAGGAATGAGGAGCCGGGCTTGCAGGCAGCCCTCCTGGGGAATGTCAGGGGCGGCTTGTAGCTGAAGACCACGCTGAAGGAGGAAGTGGGTTGGGTTGATTGACTAGGCAAAGAGGGAGAGGCCATCCCTGGCTAATGATTTGCAGCAGAAGAGTAGGGGTTCTGGGGACAGGGAAATGGGGAAGTTAGAAGAGGGAGCTGGTATTTTTATTTTGTCTGGGATTTGTTGAGGAGGGAGGTGGTGGTAGACAGTTGCGTGTTTCACTTTTAAGAACTTGGCACAAGTTTTCTAATTTTACACGTTTAATGATTACATTTGTTGCTTATGTTCTTGAACTACTAATTTTTCAAATAGACCTATCATCCTTTTTAATTCATTTTTTTTAAACTTCTGATTCTCTGCTGCTCAGTCTTCTTAATCCATGGTAAGCGTGTCTGTTTTATTATGTTGTTAATAAGTTTCTCCATCAGACTTGGCTGTTCCCTTCCATTGGAGCAAGTTCTGTCCTTATAGTTTGATTTAAGTAATGCCTTTTTGTTGAGTTTTGTGGTTTTCTAAGTGCTCTTCTTTTTTCTTTTTCTGTTTTTAAAATTAAAGACCTTTCCCAGTAGGTAACATAGTTGAGGAATCCCCCCATTTTATAGAAGATACAGGCCAATTTAGTGTGTTAGTGGCTTTGCTGGGGCCCAGAGTTTTCTGATTCTAAGTCTGTATTAATTTCCTAGGACCACCAAACAAAGCCACCACAAACTGGATGGCTTACAACAAGAGAAATGTATTTTATCACAGTTTGGAAGGCTAGAGTCTGAGATCAAGGTGTTGGCAGGGCTGTGCTCCCTCTGAAGGCTCTAGGGGAAAATCCTCCCTTGCCCCTCCTCGTTTCTGGTAGCTCCTGGTAATCCTTGTAATCCTTGGCCTTTGTAGACACATCACTCCAGTCTCTGCCTCCATCATCACATGGCAATGGCTTTCGTCTTCAGATCTCCCTTTTTCTTATAAGGACACCAGTCATTGGATATAGGATCCACCTTATGCAGTATGACCTCATCTTGACTTGATGACACCTGCAATGATCCTGTTTCCAGATAAGGTCACGTTGATGGGTACCAGGGGTTATGACTTCAACATGACTTTTTGGTGGCACAGCTCAGCACAGCAAAGTCCAGTGTTCCTTCTACTGATGACACAGCTGGCTTGCTTGCAGTTGGCATCATGAAGAATTTGAAATTTAACGTTTCCACTTAAAATAATTGGTGCTTCCATCCTTGATGGGCAGTCAGGGTTTCCTGTCAGGTAGGTCAGAGTAAAGCTTGCTGCTGAGTAGTTATGCCTCCTTTCAGCAGAGGCTGGGGACACCTTATTGTCACTAATGCATCTGTTTTGGGTTGGAGGAGGGCTGGGTTTACCAGTGGGTTCCACGTGTAACCAGAGTGAAACTCTGGCCACTAGATCTGTGTGGTGTTTGAGCTCATCTGGGAAACTCTTCTTTGTTAATAAGTGTTTGAGGGAGGTGTGATTGGTTCTTTCTAGAATAGAAAGCTGGAAGTGGACTTCCAGTCTGTGATAACCTTTGGATATTTGACAAAGGAATTGTATGATTTTACTGTGAGAATATCTTACGCAGAATAGCTGAGCCTCAGGGCTTTTCCCCACCACCTCCTTGTGCACCAGCACCTCACAACCTTCCATCAACATCTTTATCCCCACACCTCCGCCAAGGTGAAGGCGGCATCTTAGAAGGCCTAAATTATTATGACTTTTTCAGAGTCCTTATCACTAATATTTTGAGTTAATATCTATCTCTTCTGTTAGACTGCAGTCTCCCTTCAGATAGGATCCTTGTCCAGTTGGTTTTTCTTGAGTGGCTTGTCCGTAATCCTGTTTTTGAGGAGGGTTGTTGACTGGGTTGAAGGGAAGATCTCTCTCCAGGGTTTTCAGACTCGGGTCTCAGTGTTTATCTTTTGGGGATGTTGCAGGTGACCGAGCTCAACGAACCTCTCTCCAATGAAGACCGAAACCTCCTCTCTGTGGCCTACAAGAATGTGGTCGGTGCCCGGCGGTCTTCCTGGAGGGTCATCAGCAGCATCGAGCAGAAAACCACGGCTGACGGGAATGAGAAGAAGCTGGAGAAGGTTAAGGCTTACCGGGAGAAGATCGAGAAGGAGCTGGAAACAGTGTGCAATGACGTGCTGGCCCTGCTGGACAAGTTCCTCATCAAGAACTGCAATGACTTCCAGTATGAGAGCAAGGTCTTCTACCTGAAGATGAAGGGCGACTACTACCGCTACCTGGCAGAGGTGGCTTCTGGCGAGAAGAAAAACAGTGTGGTCGAAGCTTCAGAGGCAGCCTACAAGGAAGCCTTCGAAATCAGCAAGGAGCACATGCAGCCAACACACCCCATCCGGCTGGGCCTGGCCCTCAACTTCTCCGTGTTCTACTACGAGATCCAGAATGCGCCCGAGCAGGCCTGCCTCTTAGCCAAACAAGCCTTTGATGACGCCATAGCCGAGCTGGACACACTAAACGAGGATTCCTATAAGGACTCCACGCTCATCATGCAGCTGCTGCGAGACAACCTCACCCTCTGGACGAGCGACCAGCAGGACGAGGAAGCCGGAGAAGGCAACTGAGCGCCTCGGCCCACCCCCGCCCCGACCCCATCACCACCGGTCCTTCCTCACCACAGTCACTAAGTATCTAGTGCTAAACCTATCTGTATGGCAGCACAGCTACTCAGATCTGCTCTCTGCCCCCGGGAAGCAGTTCCAGATAAATTTATGGGCATTGCTGGACTGATGGTTGCTTTGAGCCCACAGGAGCTCCCGTTCTGAATTGTGCAGACAGGTGCATTCTGAAGGAGGCATTTTCCTATGCCTGCTGATCTAGGTGAAGTGCAGGCGAAAGCCTCGGGGAAGTTAGGAGAATTAACCACACAGGCTACAGTTGGTATTTAAATGGTCCACTTAAAACCAGCTGCTAGTGTTTTGTTAAAGCAGTACATCTGTGCATGCAAAAGTGAATTCACCCCTCCCACCTCTTTCTTAGCTAATGGAAAACTGTTAAGGGAAGCTGATATGAGAGACCACTTGCTCCTTTCCATCAGCTTAATAATAAACTTTAACGTGAGGTTTCAGTAGCGCCTTGTTTGCCTCTTTAAATTATGATGTGCACAAACCTTCTTTTCAATGCAATGCATCTAAAGTTTTGATACCTGTAACTTTTTTTTTTTTTGGTTGCGACTGTTTAAGAATCATGGATTTATTTTTTTGTAACTATTTGGCTATTGTCCTTGTGTATCCTGACAGCGCCATGTGTGTCAGCCCATGTCGATCAAGATGGGTAATTATGAAATGCCAGACTTCTAAATTAAATGTTTTGGAATTCAGTGGGTAAATAAATGCTGCTTTGGGGATATCATCTCTGTGTGTATGGTCTTTGTTTTTCCTGCTCTCAAGGAGCCCTATCACGGCTCACCGCTTGGAATCCTGGTTTGATCTCTCAAACCCTGAAGCATTTCTGGAATAGCGAGTCTTGGTGCCCCCTGATTCCATCACACATTTTGCAGTGTACACAAAAGACTCATGAATTTTAAATAGTTTTGTGTGAACCCAGCTAACAGCCTCTCTGATCCCCTCTTCTTGTTGCTGGTGCCTGTACGGGAGGGGCCGAGCAGACCCCAATGCCGTGTTCCATGGCACAGCCCCTCTGGAAGGGGTGTGTGTCTGACTTTGAGGGTGTAGCTCCACTCGGCCTACTGGAACATTGGTTGCTAGGTATCACCCAAATTCGGTACATGTTCTCAGTTTTTCTTAATATTCTTTTGCACTAGATGGAATAAAATGTTAATTAGGGATCCCTGAAATAAACTTTAGTGATCATTATTAAGAAAGCTTTGAGTATTCTTTAAAAAATAAGACAGCAGACCTCCCTCTGAGTTTAAGAAAGAGAATGGCCTGGCTTCTAGTGCACTTTCCCCATCTGCCTGCACCTCAGGCCGCTCCTGAGGCCCTGCATCACCAAGTGGACTCTTCCTTCCCCGGGTGATGTGGACTCCAGCCACTCACGATTTCTGTCCCCTCCAGCGTGGTGCTCGGGACCGGACATGCTTGTCGAGTGGATTGGTTCAGGTACACAAAGGCCCTAAACACCTTATTCTTGACTGAAGCTTGACACTAGACTGGTGGAGGTGGCCACGCCCAGCCTCTGTCCTTGAACCTACACTGTGGTGGAGCGTGGACATTTAACCTATTTTCTCATCCTGAAGTAGAGGGATGACCCACATGCTAATAAGTAGTCCTTAGGAAGCCTATTTCAAGTTGACCTAATTGCCAGCAAAAATCCTTACGGGTTTTGCTTCAATTAGCAGGTCAGGTATTTTAAAGCCATGAGCTTTATGTGCCTAAGGCATTTGGCTTTGATAAAAATTCGTAGACGTTGAAACTTCGTCCATTTGGAGTGCACTTCACAGAAAGGGCTTTAGAAAAAGCACTTAACGTTTTCATTTCACAACCATCTTGTGGAAAGTTTTGTCCCCACCTTACAGAGGAGGAAACTGAGGTGCAGAGGTGGTGGACCTCTGGAATCAGCTGGTGCCACAGGACGGCCTCTGCCCACGACCTTTAAATTCAGAGTCCTAACTGCCCTCTGGTAGGCTCCAGGCAGCCGACAACCTTTGAGGCTCAGGCCCCTCGTTTTTTAAGAGTAGGATTTGGAATATAAGATTTAATTCAACCCAAAGTACCATGTGCAAGGCATCCTCTTGGGTCTTGGAATGGGGTGTGGGGAAGTATGGGCACACAATTCCAGTCAGCCCTACAAGTGGTAAATGGGGTTCTTTGAGAGGACTTGAAATTACATGTGGCGTAAAGCTGAAGCCTTCCTTCCCTATTGTGTGATCTCAAAGGCTTCCTTCCAGTTCTGCACACTCTGATGTTTTAAAACTTGTCAGTATCAAAGTAAAAAGACAAAAAAAGCTTGTCAAGATAAATTTATGAAATGAGATGGGGTCATCTCAGTGTTACTGCAAGGGAAACAAGACCAGAGAAATGAATGGCTTTCCCAGAGTCTCACTGCAAAGTTAGTGACAGAACCTAAACTAGCACTCAGGTCCCCTAAATCCTTGTTTATGGTTCTTTTCACCAGGCCACAGTCTTGGGGTTGAGAAGAAAAAATGGATGTGACACACATCCTATTATGGGGACACTTTCAGTGCTTTTAATATTTTCACTTAGAGTTGAATGAATTATACTTGGAAAGGAAATTTAAATATATTGATGCTAACTAATGCTCAGATTTTCAATTACTCCTCAAACCCTGCTCAAAGGTCCATTTGTTTGAGTTGGAGGAAAGGGTAGGATTCTTGATAATGGAGCTATTGTCGGGTAAATACTTGGGCATCTTAAGTCACTTGGGATTGGGAAGCTCAGGATGCCTCTTGGTTCTGTAAAATAGGCTATGTTCAGCAGTCAGGACGTGCCGTTCAGAGGCTGAGGGGGTCCTCAGTTCTCAGGAGACCTCCAAACTATGGGGCAGGCACAGGCACTGAGTCACAGCTGAGTGGGACGGAACAGATCATCTCCTGTTACAAAGAACAGCCGTTGGGCTGATGGAAACAACCATTTCAAACACCTTGTGTGTTCTGGGCACCTTAAGTGCATGGTCTCTGAGTCTTTACAGCAACCCTGGACGGTAGGAATGATACAAGGGCCTCGTGGCTTTCAGGATCTTAGTTCCCCGATCAGGGATCAAACCCATGCCCCCTGCAATGGAAGCACAGAGTCGTAACTACTGGACTGCCAGGGAAGTCCCAGAATGATACTATTTTTAACAGATGAGGAGATGAGGTATCAGGTGGTATACGTAGCTGGTAAGAGGTAACACTGAGATAAAACCGGGTCAGTCCTACCTCAAGGCTTTTCCCACCACACCATGGGTTTTTTGATCCCCACCTGGAGAAAAGGAGTTCTAGAAAAGTCATAACAATAGCTAACCCCTCTGCCTCTCTAGTCTCTGTCTTTTCTTCTCCAGCCTCTGTGACATCCTACCCAAATCAAATCCTTCCTTCAGGGCCTAATGAAATGGCGTCTCTTATGAAACCTCTGATTTGGTTGAGGCTTCCCTGCCGGGCGGTTGTGAGTCAGACTTGACTGATTATTCCTAGTCACCGGGCACCTCTCCCCTCCACCTCCCCTGGACCGTGGGCCCCTGTGTTGCCAAGCAAAGGAAGGGCTCCAAAAGGCTGGGGAGCTAAAGACGAAGGAATCCACTGTCAAGTTCATCTTCCCAAAGTACAGCTCCCATGTTGGTCTGAAGGGCAGAGGCTGTGCCAGGAGGGAGAGGGAAAGGACATTTGCCGACTGCCTTCTGCGAGTGACTCAGCGATCACCTGCAAAGTGGGGCCTTACATGCATTTCAATTCAGAGCTAACATTCTTGTGAACTGGGCTGTAGCTCCAGTCAGGAGGCTCCGAGAGGAAAAGTGACTTTCGTGCGGTCACGCAGTTGGGAAGGGGCAGAGCATCTGTGTGGGGCTCCAAGGCCCTTGCTCTTGTCTTGAATGTGTCACCTTCAGGCAGAGGCTGGAAGCCTGACAGTCCAGGTCTCCATTGATGGGACCTCTTCCTCCCTCCAGCCCACTTCTCTGTTACCTTCTTTACATTTGCCTCTTCAGCCGGATCAGCCTTTTTTTTTTTTCTTTGCTGCCCCACCCCCACCCCCAGGCATATCCAGGGACATGGACCTTGATGCTTGTCTTCCTCCGATCCTCGGGGCTCCTTCTACCAGAAGGGAGGTACCTGTAGGGGCTACAGCTACAGGATGACTGAAGACGTGGACCACAGCATGCCCAGCTGGACCCACCTGTTCAGCCTGCTCTCACTTTGGCTCAGGTCTTTACTCTGCCTTCCTGAATGGCTTTCTGATCTTGGCCTCTTCAAACTCTACCTAGGAAATCCCACCTCCCTGCCAGCTACTGTGAGCCCCTCTCTGGGCTCCTGTACTGTGGGTCTGCACCACATGATGGCATTCATCACCTGTCTTGTTAACAAACATGTTGAGCTCCTATGTGGTAGGCATTGGGCAGGGTGCTGGGGGTGGATACCTTGGTGAATTACCTGTCCTTGTGGGGCTAACACTAGTGGGGGATACAATAAAAATATAAAATAATACAGTAACTATGAAAATGCCACTCAGGTTCTTCTCAGCATCTAGCACACAGCTCACGGTAAGAATTTGTTGACTTCATGAGTAAATGACTGATCTGAGGCCGGAATTTTGACAAAAGAAATGACCGAAAGGAATCCTTCATTTCTGCGCCCAAATCTACCAATGAGCCATGTAAGAAACCGAGGGCCATGAGCCCTTGAGCTTGGTTCTAACATCACCTATAAACTGGTGGTGTGACCTTGAGTGTGTCCTCACCTCTCAGCGGCCTCTAAAAACGAGGCAGGTGCTTGGGGTGGTCTCTGGGCACTTTTGCATTTTGGAGATTCTGTGATTCTCTGTTATTTTCAACTGCTCTGGGATGGTCCCCATCCTCTTCCTGGCCTTTTTCCTGCTCTCCCCCCTCCCTTTTCCTTCCTCCTTTCACATCTGTCCCTTTTGCATCCGCCCTCCACCCCTCCTTCACTTTCCTGGCCACCCCCTAGTTCCAAGAGGGTTTCCATGGCAGTCATCTCCTGGAAGTGACATCACTCATCTCCTAGGCAACTGTTTCCAGGGCAGTGACATCATTCGGTCACCATGGCAACCCTCCAGGAGGACAGTTCTGCAGTAAAAGGGACAAATAGCATTCTTATTTATTTCTGGGGGCTTGGGGACAATGTAGGGAGATTATTAACAGAAGAAAAAGATCTCAAGAACAAGAAGTAAAAGCTTTGGGCTTGTAGGGAAAAAATGGGAAGCCAGGGCGGGGGCTGGGAAGGAGCAGAAGCTCTGGGGTGAAGCCCTTCTCCTTTCTAATAACTAGGCTGACCATTTAATATGTCACCAGATTGGGACACTTGAGAGTGAATAAGGGCACCATTATTATCATACTGGATGACAGATGAAAACTGGGCCTCCCCCAGCAAACCAGGGCATGTGTCCCCTGCCCAGGTCAGGCAGGTGCCTTGCCTCACTCCCTCACCTATGGCTCATCCTATAAGCGTGGATTCTGCTCTTCTGTGTGCGGGCACCAGGGATACCACAGTGATCAAACCGGCCTAAGCGAGCTCACAGTCTTTTGTGTGTGTGTGTGTGTGTGTGTGTGTGTGGTGGGGCCGAGGTAACGGCGCAGTCACCCAGTGAGTGTTGCTGTGCAGCCCGAGTTTAGCACTCAGAAGGGAAGGCAGAGAGCACCAGGGGCGTGTTCAACACAAGTGCCCAAAGCAGCCAGGGCGGGAGAGGAGTTAGTAAGGGGGTTGGAATGGCGTGGGGAGA